AGTATGTATATATATATATATATATATATATATGTATGTATATATATATAAATACGTATATATATATATGTATGTATATATATATAAATACGTATATATATATATATATATATACGTGTATATACGTGTATATATTTGTGTTTCTGTGTCTGTGTCTGTGTCTGTCTGTGTATGTGTCTGTGTGCGAGTATATATATATTTATATTTATAGTATTTAGGTATGTATGATATGTATGTATATAGATATTATATATATATATATATGTAATATATATATATATATATATGTATATATATAAATATATATATATATACTATTAAATATATGTATATATGAATATATTCTGTATTTATATATATATATTAATATATAAATATATATTATATATATATAATATTTATATATATATATATATATAATATTTATATATATATATCTATATATATATATGTGTGTGTGTGTGTATAAGTATGTATGTATGTATGTATGGGTCTATGTATGTATGTATGTTTATATATACATGTGTGTATGTATGTATTATATATAAATGTATGTATGTATGTATGTATATATATTCATATGATTTTCTAGGTATGTATTGACATATATATAGATATATGTATATATATATATATGTATATATATATATAATATATAATATATTATTTAACGAATAATTGACCATACTTGCAGTTCTACTCCATACTACAGTACTTTTAACAGAATCGTTACCATCTGCACCACTCTTAGGGCAACGCAATTCATGTAGCCAAGAGCCTGAGTGAAGCGAAGCATGTATGTATAGAGGCACCGTGCGCGCCTATAATGCCGGAGAACGATGGCAAGCTAGTACATATCGCCTGTCCCGTGACGCACTTAGACAGCTTCCGCGATATTGCCCTGGGTATGGAGTATAGTGGACTCAAGTTTGTACGCACTGTAGAGATGTACCAGTGGGAAGAGGAGAAGAGCTGTACCCAGAAAGACGACAAGTTCGGCGGGGGCACGACTACCCACTGCACGTACTCATACCACAAGACCTGGTCCACCACCAGCGTAGACTCACTCCACTTCCACAACCAGCAGTATGTGAACCCGGAAGCCAGTGAATGGCCTATGCAAAGTTCGGTACAAGCCGGTGACCGCATCGGTGTAGGGGCGTTCACACTGGAGAGCGACCTGGTGCGTGGGTTAGAGCTGAAGCTTGTTGGGTTGATCCCCCCTGTCCACCCCTCCTACCGTCCCTCGGGTCAGTATCCACCCAGGACTCTGGACTCCTACAACACCCAGTTGTGCGGGGCTAGCTACTACACGGGTGACTGTAGCAGACCGCTGGTAGGCGACGTGCGGGTGTCCTATCAGGGTGCGTCGTCCAGCGCCATCTCCATACTGGGTAGGCAATACATGCAGACGTTTGTATCGTGGAAGGGGACTCAGAGTAAGAGCACGGTCGGTCCGTACCTGGTTGAGGGGATCAAGAGCGAAGATGTGATGTTCAACGACTTACAGAACAACCTGACTATGCTGACGCTGCTACTACGCGCCGGTGGCTTTGTACTGCTATGGATTAGTTTCAGTATGGTTGCCGGTCCGTTGTCGGTAGTGCCAGACATCATCCCGTGTATAGGCCCTTGCATCGGGGACATCATCGGGGGGGCGATCTGCTGTGCTTCATTGCTGGCGGCTGTCTCAGTATCTCTAGTATGTACATGTAGGAGCGCGCTTTCAATACGTCGTCAAGATATATATATATATATATATATGTGTGTGTGTGTGTGTGTGTATGTATATGTATATAGTTATAGTAAATAATTAATTAATTAATTAATTAATAATAACTAATAATTAATTAATTAATTAATTAATTAATTAATTAATTAA